CCACAAGTTTATTAAAAATCAATAAATCTAAAAATTTGAGAAATATTTTGTGAACGGAGAATTCATGAGCCTGGAAAATGTTGATGATATGAACAACTTACTGATCCTCAACATTTTGGAGTCAGTTATCGGAAGTGGATACAGGGGGTCCCAAACTTACGAACGAGGTCCCATAAGGTCAATTATCTTAAAAATTCAGCATAATTACAATGGTTCGTAGCAGTTACGTACGAGAACTAGTTTGCACGATGTAGAGGGGAGGTGGAGTGGGGAGTGATGTGTCTCACACAGTCACCCGCCTTGAGGGAGTGGGAGCATCGGTTAACTTTACCCTCACCGCCTTAATGTGTGGGAGCAAGTTCAAACTTTCTTTTTTCTTAGCTCTTTTTCTGCCCTCATCATGGCTCCCAAACCTAATGCAAGTGATAGTAGTGCATCCAAGAAATGGAAAACAATTACTGTACAATTGAAATGAAAGTTGATGTAATTAAACGTTCTGAAAAAGGTGAAACAACCTCAGTGATCGGTAAGGCACATTAGGCTTCCTCGGTCAACGATGGGAAGAATTTTGAACGACAGAAAATTGTTGAACATGAAAAAGGATCTACTCCAATGCACTCAACTGTGGGAACAAAAAAAAGAAGTATATTGTTAATTGAAATGGAAAGATTGTTAGTGATATGGGTGGAAGATCAAAATCAACAGGATTTGTCTTTTAAGTCTAGCCTTGATTCAGGAAAAGCGAGAAGCTTGCACACTGACTTTAAGTGATGGGGAAGAATACAGTATTGTTGCTAGTAGGGGCTGGTTTAATCGGTTCAAGGTAAGGGTAAATGGTGTTTGGAAAAAACACTGCCCACAGTTTGTCCACGATTTCAAGGGCTCTGAAAATGATTGTCATGGGTTGCATTAGGTTTACCCACGCAACCATTTCCAAAGTTTGTTTTACTAGAGATAAGGGGCCGGATACTCAAAACACCTCATAAGTTACGTATATTAGCGAGTTACAGTACCGTAAATTGCAGACTCCTCACAGTCCCGTAAATTTAGCATACTCAAAATTTAATTACAGTTCCGTAAGCAGTTCGTAAGTTATCATAACTCTAATGTTTACCCTGTAAATTCAGTTCTCTTGTCAGAAAGTAGATGGCAGTGCAGGAGCTAGTTGGCCATCAGCGCTCAGTTAACAAAATCATCAACCAATCACAAGAGAAGGAGAAATCAGCTGAGAGCGATGCACGTGATATTAGTTTGTAAACAAAAGATGGAAGGACAACCTCCTGAAGAAACGACCAAATTTCAGTGGGACTGAAGTATGCACCATGGTGTGTGAAGTATGCTCCATGGTGTGTGAAGTCGCCAAAAGAAAGAAAATAATTGTAGGGAAATTTAGCTTACAACATGGTGTTTTCCTTTCAATGTTTGGGTCATTTGGTCTGAATTGTCTTCAAGTTCATACAAAAAACAACAATTTAAAACCTGAAACTATAGCTGATTATCCATAAATTTTCTTAAATTAATACTCTACCCTATGATACTGTTCATGAAAAGTCTGGAACTAGACCTAAGGTAGCTGCTAGACAAAGTGTCTCACTGACAGCCTGACACTCACCAAAAAACCTACACATTCTCTAACCTAACCTAACATACCATAAAATAACATAACCAAACCTAACCTAACCTATAACCTATTGGTATAATTTCTTATTTAAATATTCCTCATGTTATAACTAAATTGAGTAGGCCCCACGTTTGAACATTTATTGGCCTAAGAATGAAAAAGTAGTTTTATATGCCCCTATTAATCAAGTTAATTGCAATCCATATTTTACGCATATCATTTAATTTTGGCTAACCTTTAGAGCCTTTCATGTTATCATAAGCCATATACTGTACATAAGAAAATAGGGCTAGGCTATTGGTTGCATATTAGAAAAACAAGGCGAAGTCTAGGCAGGAATGTTCACTTCACTTCACTTCATATTTGGCTTTCATTACTGGGGGATATTTACGGCTATACAACATTAATAAGGTCTATCTATAAGTTTACTCAGTCATAAAACATATTTTTACCCTAAGTGTGAACAATACAGACCTTCTGTTTTGGGAAAAAATACTTTATAATTTGTAAGAAGACAAAAGATGCGTCTCTTCCAAACTGTGCCAAATGCAAACACTAAAAGCCTCGTAGTATTGCAACAAAAATTTTACGAAAAAGACAAACTGAAATACTGTACTATATTTCAGTATGTTTATGTACAAAACATTTTCTTCATTATTCTATGATAAAACAAGTCTAACAAGCATTATTACAACATATATTATTATTATTATTATTTATACAATTGGGAATTGGTGACTACTACATCTAGGTTGAGTGTGTTAAAGAGCCTCATGGGCTGGTGTAAGTTATGGGCTTTAACTTATGGAGTTCGATGTCAAATATTTGTTTTGAGTATACCATCGGTGTTTTGAGTATACTGATCTGAGACTGTAAGTCCAGTTACGGGGTACTCAAAGACAAACAGTCCCATAAATGTTTTTGAGTATCCGGCCCAAGGCTTCCGGCGAGGCATAAGTGGGACATATATTTTCCATTAGTGTATGTTAGCCAGCCTTTAGGGGAGGGGGGGGGGGCAGTGAGACAGTGTTGTACTGTTCATCACTCCACACCAAAAAACCTCATTTTAAGTATTATCCCCTTGGCCATGGGTTAGTCAAGACGCCCACCTCCTCCCTCCTGAAGGGAGCGGGACACCACACGGAGTCTTCCACCGCCACTCCGTCCTGTGGACCGTCGTCGACACGAGTTAACCTAGGTTGTTATCCCCGTGGAAATATCACGTGTGGATGCCTGGTTGCAACAAGAGCAATCCGGGCTGGCCTACCAAACCTACAGTAAATGGTTATCAATTCACGCTTAGAGTTCTCCTGCACAACACCTGTCTACAGTGACCGTGATCGACACGAGACTAAGCGTGTTAACCTAGGTTTGTTATCCCCGTGGAAATATCACGTGTGAATGCCTGGTTGTGACAAAAGCAACCCGGGCTGGTCTATTGCACCTAAGTGGTTAATTCAAGTCACGCCTACCAGTTCTCCTTGCCGCGACAACCGTCTACAGTGACTGTCAGTGACGCAAGACTGTGTGTGGTAACCCAAGAGTACTTTTTGTTGTTATTCCCCGTGGAAAGAAGTTCTTGTGCGGAAGCCTGGTTGCAACAAGAGCAATCCAGGCTGGCAGTAAATGCATCACTTGAAGAATTAAGGATCTGTGAAGTCATACCCATAGAGTAATCACATGAGTTGCCGAGTTGAAAATTCCCTCTTTTAGAAGATTAATTTTATTACAGCGTGAATGTGAGTGACTCATATCCATGAGTCACCCATGCCTGTATCTGTGATCCTTTCTTATTATTACTAAAGGTAATGACAAATTGGTTATGACAAAGTATAACCAATAACTTAGATGGATGTTGGAAATTAATGGAATTCATTAAAGCATCATTTATCAAGTATAAATCATGAAATGTCGAGTGGTGGAGTGAACTTCTACGTAGAATCGTAGATACGCCATAATCTCCTGTAAGTAACCAGTGTGAAGTTATCAAATTCTACGGTAAGAAATAAGAAACACAACATATTAAAATCTTTATATAATATAATCCACTCTTACACCACCACAAAAACCAAAACTATGACAATGATGTTGGGGAAATGACACAGACAGTGGTAGACCTTGGGAACTTACTCCAGCTTGATATTCATGAGGATGAAGTCACACAGTTGCTTGAGTTTCATACTGAAGAATTGAGCAATAAGGAGCTGATTAAACTGGAGAAGTAAATTTTGTGTCAGAGGATGTAGAGGAAACTGAAACTCCGGAACTAAAGGGATTAATTACAAAAGAAATGGCAGATGGTTTCAGGCTTTTTGAAGAAGGATTGTTTAAATTTAAAAAGCAAGATTCACCAAGATTCATAGAAGTATTACTGAATATCTATGATGCTACAGAGAGATTTATGACAAAAAGAAGAAAATTTCAGTTGAACCATCCCAATAAAGTCTCTGTCACTCCTACAAATGCTCATCTCTCTACATGCAAGCCAGCCTGAGGTTTCAATGTTGGTGTTAAGCTTTAGTTTTTACTTTTCGTTACTGTATTTTGTCATTCAATTTCTTCTCTTCTCTTACATTAAGTGATTCAAGATGTATAAAAGGATTTGGGCTATGATATGTTCCGACTTACGTACATTTCCGACTTAAGGACGACCTCAGAAACAGAACTCGTTCGTAACCTGGGGACCCCCTGTATACAATACCTGCCAGTACTGGACAGTACTTTAATTCACCACGTGTGGAAACACCCATTGACAGGATATTGAAGTATTGTACAGTATTAGTCGAGTTGAGATTATTTGAAATTTTATCAGTTTTAATACATTCTTGTAGTTTGGTTTTCTAAATACCTGTAGTGATGTACTGTATACAAACATGTAGATTTTAATATACTTTACAGTACTGGCTTCAAGAGTGAAGAATATAATGTTAACCCTCTGGCACTCCTGGCCATGGCCAAAAGTCTCACCCCCTCACAGTTTTTCCATGCAGGTTGTGTCGGTAACATGAGCAGTTATTTCCATTTTAGTAAACATTGGGTACAGCGATCCAGACCCAAATTGCACCCTTAGGATGCATCTGCCAGCCCACAAGGATAGTGGAAGGAACTGGGAGGGGTCAGGCCAGTACGGAAGCGATTAGCGACTCAATCTGCACTGAAAGACCACGAGACGGTTAATGTTATTTAAAGTGTTTTCTCCATACAACACATCTTAGACTTACAGGAGCATACTGTACTGTACAAATATTGTATACCCTGTACAGGTACTTTAATTTTATATTACACTGATTAATGTGGAAGAGGAAGTGAAGCTTCATGTTAAAATTTTATATTCATTTTGATTAATGCATTGGCTTATAAGTTCACTTTTCTCTCACAGGTTAGGCTTGGAAAAATAAGAAGTGCACAATGAGTTACGAGTCATCCACCAGTTCAGCGCTTCCTGATGGGGAGACACGGACAAATCTCATCATTAATTACCTACCACAGACACTCACGGACCAAGAGTTTTACAAGATATTTGTTGTTGTAGGACCCATTAAAAACTGCCGCATTATGAAGGACTTAAAGGTATAATTTTTCAGCAACTTTTTTTATTTTAGTAGTAATTTTTTGTTATTATTATATTACTATTATTATTCAATTATTATTAGTACTTCTATTATTATTATTATTATTATTATTATTATTATTATTATTATTATTATTATTATTGCTGCAAAATCTGCTGATACCCAGTGTTGATACAGAATTAAAAAAATCTCTGATCATCAGTGTTATCTGTAACATGATGCACTAGTCAAGTGAAAGTGGGAAGGAAATTTTATTATTAACAATGGGGATATGTGGTTGCATCATGCTTGGACCAAGATGAAGATACAAGACACTGGATTAACTAGAGTAATTGAATTGGATGTGAAAGTTGAAAAAAAATAATGAAGAAAATAACAAAATGTGCTCAAGGAAAGCATCATTAACCCAGATGATGATACTGAAAGACTCTTCTGTGAGGAAACCTGAATAATGGAAACAACTTTAGTACAGTATTAGATTGTCATTACAGTTTTACTACAGTGAATAGAAATGTCAACGGCATCTAATATGTAATACTGTTCAGTGTTCAGTATTGAGATCACACTTGGGTTTTTTTTTTAATAGGTAACTGTAACTGCTTGTTTTTTAGTGATAAATTTGCATGTAACAAAAATATATGTAGAAATTTATTTCTGAAATGCATTATTCAAAACATAAGGGTTACTTTAATTAAAGGAAAGTTATTCTTTGCAAATTTTATATAATAATATTAGGGTTAAGATAAGGTCAAAATTACCATAGTTACTCATCTAAATAACGTAATTTTAGACGAGATGATCATCATGTGTGCTTATTGTATTAGACCTTTTCTGTCACTTTCTTCACTTGTCTTGCAGTACGTATTCTTCCTTATTATTTTGCCATATCTACTGACATTTTTGTACCTACCTTGATCTGTTCTACACAAAAAATAGAATTAAAAAACAGTATATATACATACAGTATTAAACAGAGGTAGATATTTAAGGAATGCTGTCGGTTGGGTTAGGTTATGAGACTTGTATCCTAGTTTTTTAAATGCACTAAATTGGGTACAATGAATTGGAACATACAGTTAAATGCTGAAAATTCTGAGTATCTTGGGACCAAGTGTATTATGTTTGGGTGGAGTATTAAAATATTTGGTGTTTTTTAAATTCACTAGATTAGAAATATTGAAATAGAAGTACAATTCAGACTACAGGCAATCCTTAATTTCCGAACATCTGCTCACACGAACATTATACCTGTACAGTAGTACGGTACAGTAATTTAAGACCATGTATCGGTCTTTCAAACTGAAGTTCCTCTCATGCAAATGGAGCAATGGAGGAGTTTGGAGACTAGAATGTAGGAAAACAAACACTGTGTGGTTGTACTGCGCATCCTCCCAAAATGCATCTGCTTTGTTTGAGTGGCACCATGCATGTTTTCTGCATTGTTGTGGTTTTACACTAATTAATCATTTGGTGAAAACAATTTTATTTATTGCATTAACTATCAATCCTTATGTCCCAAATGCTGTAAAGCCCGCTGGACCCCCACGTGGGCATATTTTGCCCCCCCAAATGAAAAAAATCCAGGTAAAAAAAATGGTATTTCAGGCATAAAATTAGTAGTCACTGGAAACATGCTGTTGTGGCTTGGCGTGCATGTGGCCCCCTGTGTCCACAGCCACCACGGCACGGTGCCATTGTTTGTATCATTGTCCTCACCACTGGCTGCCTTAAACTCTACTTCATCTGGGTCTGTTTCCTCCTCATCACTGTCTTCATCGCCATATAGTATATCAGTGCCACTCAAATCTAGCAACTCTTAATGAATACTGTAGCACTACTGTCGAGCAAACGCCTTCTTTCGGGTTAGGAGGAATGAGGTGGATCATGAGACGTCGAAGGTGATACATGCACGATGATAACTGGTGGGTAACTAAACCACGAGACTTGAGATAAAGATTACACGCAAGTTGAGTTGCCAAGGAAATAAAAATTCTATACAAAGAACTATGTCTCACCTGGACGTTCAAACTATGCAGCGAAAATGAAGGACGTAGAGGAACATCACCCAGGCTTTAAGGGTTAACAAAGGGCAATAAGTGTCAAGCCAGCACCAGTTTTAATAACTGTATTTGTTAAAGTTTTTATTTTTGGAAAAAAAAATGCAGTTTTCTCTTGCATCTGGGATTAATAATTATTTATATTAATGTTTCAATGAGAATTATTGATCTGGTTTACAAGTACATATAATGCTCAGGAACACACAAAGTTCGTAAACTTAAGATTGCCTGTTCCTTAGGACCAAGTGTATTTCATTGGACTCGACTGGATTTTTTTTTTATAAGTGGCAATGTAATACTGGAAGGATCCTCTTAAAAGAGTGAAATGCGTTCTTGAAATAGAGCGCTCAATAGGTGAATTCTTGTCTTGTTTCCATGTTTTCATATGATCCTATTTTAAAAGGCTGAGATGTGTTCCAGCCTAAATAAAATTTGATCCAAAACACCATGGTATAAACTTAGATGCACTCCAGCCAAAATAATTTTGACCTAAAAACCTAACCTAACAAGATTAAACATTGTTTTAGTACACTGTATTTACCAGAGCTGAAGGAAATGTTTGTGTTGGCCTAGCATTGTTGGTTGAAGGTAAACATCGTTAGTAGATTGAAGGTGCAGAGGCATCTTCCTCTTTATCTTTATCTGAGGAATCAACTACTGTACTGTTAAGTTGTTGGACTAATTCAGTATTCTTGCATCAGCTTTTTGCTGCTTTACCCATGTTTAGACATCTGTATTAGTTTTCCTGCTAATAGTTATCATCATGTACTTAAAGAAGTTATAGGCTAGGGTTGTCCAATACATTCTTCACTTGCCATGTGGTGAATTGGTGACAGGTTTGTGGATAAATCTTTGGGATACAAAAGTGTACTGTAGTTGCACAGCCTGGCACTATACTGGTGATGCTGCATTTGTTTTGGATGATCTTGTAATTATTTCCCAAATACTTATAGGCTTGTACCAATCACCTAATGCAACCACACACCAACCATTTGACCTTTGTTTACAAACAACACAAGTTTGCTGATAAGTGTCAGCAGCAGTGTGCTGAACATGTATTAAATGAGTGAAATTCTTAGTGCAACTGCTTTTTTTTTTAATTCTAATTTTTTAATTACCCCCATTTTACTAATGTCTTAACAGTGAGTCACAAGTTTAATTTTGGGGATTTTACTGTGTTAAAATTTGAATAGCCTTGACGATGCATAGCATCAATAGTCCTATTAAAGCATATGTTTTGGTGTGTCAGGAAATGTTATGTACACTACTTCTATAAAATTGTGATTGGATCAGGTAATTCATGTGCTATATTGTCAGCAGATGCATGCTTTTAGAAACCCAGGTTCCCAGGACCTAAAGATATGATTAGAAATAATCAGAATTTTTTTTTATGATATTCCATAATACAGTATTTGGCTTTTTAGAGAAGACCACGACACACTTTTGGTCTCCATGGCTCTTTGGTTATAGATTTAATTGGTTGGTTAGTAATCTAGTTCTGTTTGCAGGATATATATATATATATATATATATATATATATATATATATATATATATATATATATATATATATATATATATATATATATATATATATATATATATATATATATATATATATATATATATATATATATATATATATATATATATATATATATATATATATATATATATATATATATATATATATATATATATATATATATATATATATATATATATATATATATATATATATATATATATATATATATATATATATATATATATATATATATATATATATATATATATGTATATATATATATACATACGGTTTACGCGGTCAATTAAACCCGTGGAGGTCCGCGTAAAACGAGAAGCGCCTAAATGAAATAACAGAACATATGGGATTAATTGAAATAGAGACTGGGCTGACCCCCAGACTACCCTTTTTCCAACACAATACGTACGTTGTAGTAAAAATAACATCTTAATTTTATGATGGTATGCACACATAATTCATATTTAAGAGAAATATCAATAATATTAGGTTTTTTAACACTTACGTTAGTAGAAGAGATGGCTGGGCACACAGGGATGGGGGGTTGGTTCCGAGGCAGAGGGCAGATTATTGGCCCTCACCTTTATCACTCCACCACAGAGGCATGCAGGGCCTCTTTGTCAAACCCCTCAAAGTCCATATCCTCACTTTCACTGACTTGGGCTGACCGTGGCGGGTGAAGAACTCGGTAATGTTTTGTTGACTGGGCGACCCTGTGCGCACCCTGCCCGTGCCGCTTCCTACGTAAATGATGGAATGTACCGCGTAACTAATAATTGCCGGTCTGGCCAGGTGCTGCATAAATGACCAAACGCGTAAAGGAAATCCGCGTAAATCGAGACTACAGGTAGTTCTGCTATAACGCGATAATTGTGTTCTTGTAAAATATCGTGTTATAGAAAATCGCGTAATAGAAATAACAGGGCTTATGGAGAAAATAGGGTTAGGTGCAGATTACTCGAAATCGAAAAAATTTAGTAGTTAGCCTAACACAAAGGATAGCACAGTCTAAATAAATGTTACATTCATATCTAATAATGAAATCATACAGTAAATGTAACACTTTTCCCTTGAAAAAATGTGAATTCTATCACCAGAATGCTTCTTGGAGATATTCTTCTTTACCATATTCACAATTAATACCACAAAATTGGAGAAATAGTAAGCAAAAATCGCGTTATAGCAAATAAGCGTTCGCGTTATACAAATATTGTTCCTAATTCATAAATCGTGTTGGAGCAAATTCGCATTATCAAAACACACGTTATAGCAGAACTCACTGTACAGTATATGTACACTCCAGTATAAACTGATCTCGTATGTACTGTACTGTAGCTTGACCCCTGATTTTTATATATATATTTTTTTTTTAAGCCTGAGTTTTTCATATGCTGT